AACAGGTTTAATAACATTTTGAAATCATTTTGAGAGAGACACTTTATTAGCCTACAGCAAAGCTGAGCTTCACTTTCTCACAGTTTACAGCAAGGGGTGTAAAACTCACTGTAGTTCATGGGCCACATGCAGCCCAGTTTGATCTCAGATGGGCCGGACCAATAAAACAATCGCACAATAACCTATAAGTAACATTAGCGCCAATATTTTCCTTTTTTTGTGGAAAGAATTACTAATATATTCTGTAGACATTCATCCTTTTACAAAGGAGATGAACAGCCTGAGATGTCTTATGAAAAATAAGTGCAGTTTCAACAGTATGTCTCAGTTTTTCCACATTTAGGCAGTCGACTTCTCACTGTCAGTACATGTGCATTTATCCACACATCTCCTGATACAGATTCTTTTGAACTGAAGCTGCTGATTGAGAATATTTTGCACAATGTTCAGTATCTTTAAACAGCAAGTATTCATTGTTATATCAGAGAACTGTATTCTGCTCAGGGTGGAAAAGCCTCCGCAGCAGAAATTTAAATGAAGTAGGCATTGCATTCTTTAACATGCTCCTGAAACCTGGCACCTCTTAGTCCAGTCATCTAGTGGGCCGGATTGGACCCTTTGGCAGGCCGGTTCTGGCCCACGGGCCGTCCCCTTCCTGGTTGGTACACGTTAATTTGACTGACACTTTGCAGGTGAAGACCAGTGGGACCCCTGACACTTTGGGCCCCAGGGCCTGTGCCTGATTGGCCCTTCCAATATTACATCCATACACCTCAGTTGTATTTTTCCTACAGCACTACATTTCTAACTAACGATGCAAAAGCAATTCCAAATCTCAGCAGAGCGAAAAACATCTAAATGATCCCTGATTCCACTTTGCATAACAACACAGACTTATACATAATTAATACAAAACAACACATACATAATAAATACATAAAGTCTTGTTAGAGCCTGAGGGCAGAATCAACAACAAACATCCAGATGATTCATCATCGCTTCAACATACCATCTCTTTGATCTATGTTTGTTGGTTTGAGGCTAATTTAATGAAAATACTTTACTGTAATACGTCGCACTTATTTAGTCAACAATGCAGAATAAAGAGTAAAGGCAGAAAACCTACAACCTCAGTCCTTTGAAGGCAGCTGGACATTTACTGCAAACTCAAATGATCACATTTTACACAATAATACATAATTAATACAATATAATGCAATGTGAATGTAATAAATACACACTTCCCTGTTAAAGGAAACATCTGAATGACTCATTATTTGTCTATAAAGATACTCTTTGATCTGTGTTTGTGGTTCAGGGTCAGTTTTGGGCCGAATTACTGAAAGTTTTAATATCTCACAGTTATTTAGTCAACAGTGCAGAAGGAAACAGAGTCGGTGTAACGGGGTTGATTATACAGCAGTGATATGTGTTTCGAGGTCAAATGTACATTTGTAATATTAAGTATTATAATTACACAATATTCGTTTCAGTTGTTATTACCTGACATGCTTAGGCTTCCATAGTAAATATGTGGATTGTTTGATACTCAGTTTCTGTACCTCTATGTTCACCTTTGGGGGTACCCTACGTATCCACCGTATTCCTGAGGGCACTACTGTAGAAATGATTATGGGCGCAACTTCCAGTGAGATAGTGTAAGTAGCAGTAAGCTAGTTCGTCCCATAGACTGTCTGTGGTTAGTCCCAGTGGCTACTCTTCGTGGCTAACCGCCAAAGCTGGTTCTTTTCAAAAGTAATTTGCCTTCAGTTTAGCAAATATTTATTTTTTAACAAATATTTAACTAATGTTAACTTAGCATTTTCTAAAATGTCTTTGCAGAGCTGTTGCACTGTTCGTGTCTGTAACGACTAACAACCAGCCTAAGCTAAATTTTTGTCTGTGTTGAACACGTAAGCAGAACAACAAGGGATTGTTCCTGTTGCCAAAGGTGCCATTGATATGAGAAATAAAACCACAAGAGTTTCACGAGGCATAGCGAAAAAGTATTAAATCACAATTTGCAGAAGAGAATGACACCTAGACTGACAGGTCCGTCACTCAGCGCCAGTACATGATATCCCTGTCTTTCCCCGTCTGACTTCATTCTCAACCTACATTAGAAAATAAACTCAGCAACACACCTTGAAATATTTATTTAGTCATTAGGGCTGAGAATGTGTTACTGATTTACCGTGCTTCCTCTTCATATAAAAAAAATAATGCCAAAAGTTATTTCTTTTACTCCTACTTTATATTACTATCACTGAAGTCCGCTGCTAAATTCAGCTTCATGTTTCACTTGGAACAGTTTTTAATAAATCAGAAGTTAAAAAAAATCATGTAAACTGCGTCATTAACGCAGACGAGCGGAGGGTTAGCTGGGAAACATCACATTTATTCACTTTACACGGAGCTACAGTCAGTACTGAATTATGTGAAATGTTTGCCGAATGTGTTAGAATCTCTTCATCAGTCATCAGAAATCATCTTTAGAAGCTTTACCTTAAGCTAGCTTGGGCCATGTTAAAGTTAACGATATTCAAACGGAGCAAGGCGAGCTAATTGCTAGCTCGCTCGGTTGCTTTGAGATGGCTGTCAGAGATCAATCAATCAATCAATCAATCAATTTTATTTATAAAGCCCAATATCACAAATCACAATTTGCCTCACAGGGCTTTACAGCATACGACATCCCTCTGTCCTTATGACCCTCGCAGCGGATAAGGAAAAACTCCCCAAAAAAAACCCTTTAACGGGGGAAAAAAACCAGTAGAAACCTCAGGAAGAGCAACTGAGGAGGGATCCCTCTTCCAGGACGGACAGACGTGCAATAGATGTCGTACAGAACAGATCAGCATAATAAATTAACAGTAATCCGTATGACACAATGAGACAGAGAGAGAGAGAGAGAGACAGAGAGAGACAGAGAGTATTAGTATCTGGCAGTATACATGTGTGACAATAGTCATATGTGTATAATAACAGTAGAAGTATGACTAATGACTAATGATGGCAGCAGCAGCAGGAGGCATCTGGCAGGACCACGGCAGCAGCACAACCACACACGTCACGCTGTCCAGGCACCGCTGCAGAGATGGCAGAGGTATGATCACATAATCCCGTTTGAGCTATAACAGGTGGTGTGATCCATGTTTTATTTCCCAGTTGCTCTTGGGAAGAAGAACAGAGTACTGTAAACAAACTGTTAGCATTGGAAATCACCGGCTTCGGTTCAACACCGGACGTTGCACCCATAATTCACGCAAGGTATCATGGGGGCTAGGAATAAGGTGGATAAAGTTGTGTTTCCTGCCTTACCTCGCCCCTTTTGCTGTTGTACTCCAGGGGAGAGGTAAGCGACATTGCTCTCGTAGTAATTTCTGTGTTTTAGTGCTGTTAAGCTGTTTATGAGTTCATTTTTCATCCTAAACTTAGTGTATAATATGCTAACATATTCCTGTGTCACTTCATTTGTGTAGGGGCTCGAGTTATATGGTCGTTAATGATGGAGGACATAGTTTTTAACTCTTGCTGTCAGGTATGTTTTCTGTGCTTTATTGCACTAAATTGAATGTTACATGGCTCATACCCTTTTGTGGTTGTGCTCCATGGGAGAAGGGCTCGAGTTTATACGGAGTCCCACAGGGCAGCGTTCTGTCTGCTTTTCTTTTTAATGTGTACATGGATGACTTGTCCCAACAGTTAAATTCATGTAAGACAGGGTGTATGGTTGGCAATATTTTAATAAATCATCTTGTATGCAGATGATTTGGTAATCTTCTGTCCATATAGTGCTGGCCTACAACAGCTGTTGAAGATATGCTCTAACTATGGTGCAGATTTTGACATCAAATATAACGCCAGTAACAGCAACATTATGATTGTTAGAGGTACGGAAGACAGATAATTAGTATTTCCTGAATTCTTCTTATCTGGCGTTGCTCTTAAAGTGTGTATTCAGATTAAATATCTTGGTAATTATATTGTCAATGATTTATCTAATATGCTTGGTCGCAAATTTAGCACGTAATCAGTTCGTGTGAAGATGGCTCTTTTTAGAGCATTTTGCTGCCCACCTGTGGTGTTCCTACAGGAAGAGCAATATGTAAAGACTTAATGTGACCTATAATGATGGCATGAGACTGCTCCTTAAACTTCCACAATGGTGTAGTGCCATCCAAATGTTTGTCTGATGTGCCTACTTGTCCTGCTCTAATACACAATCTTTATGTGCAGGCTCTCTGTCTGTGGGGCCACTGGCTCTCCAGCTTGTTTGTTTTATATATATATATATATATATATATATATATATATATGTGTGTGTATATATATATTGTATATCGTGTTTTTGTACATAGATAATTATATTTTTGTGTGTTATGCTATGGACCTTTCTCTGTGTCCTTAATAAAGTCATTATCATTATCATTATTACATGATTATAATTGACAGAGGATTTTGTTTTTACCTCTTTCTGCCAGGAATAAACGGAGATCGCCTCCAAAGATATCCACATTCTGGGCGTCTTCATATCAGCACAATGCAGGCAACAATAGAGTCCACCGGTTACATAGGGACAGACTGAAAAAATACAAACCTAAAAAGTACTTTTAACATAATAGATGGATTAATTACCTTGACAGAGTATGTAGAGCCTACATGTTTTCCTGAATGAACATTATCAGTTTCACAAACTCTACTCCCTTAACTATGGTTTGAAAACAAAGCGACCTTCTTCTTCTTTCTTTTTAAAGCCAAAATACATCAACAACATGAAAGCCAACCTACACTTTTTTTACACTAAAAAAAGGATAATTAATTGATTTGTTGACAAGGTGAAACACTATAAATACTCTCTAAAAGACTGAATCTAGTCGTTTTGGTCCCCAGAGAAAGCAGACACGTCAGTCTTGTTCTACTGTGTTAATGGGACAGAGCTTTCAGGGGGAGGGACCTCCCTTGACTCCCATTAAAGACAGTAGCTATAAAAGAGCTGAAGACAAGATTGCAGCCGGCACACTGAGGCACACTGACGAAGCGAGAGCGTGTGAAGAAAACTAAACAAATAAAAGAAACACTTGGGTGTAACAGTGTGATCGAGGAGGCTGAGCCCAGAGCAGAGGAGACAGGAGCACAGGGAAGGAGGAGGAGGGTGAGAAAGAGTCACAGAGAGACAGAGGGAGAAGAGGACAGAGAGAGACGCATCAGAGCGGGGAACAGGTTCTTTCGGCAGCCCTTGGACTCAGCCTCAGCAGACATGCCTAACTTTGCCGGCACCTGGAAGATGAAGAAGAGTGAGAATTTTGATGAACTTCTCAAAGCCCTGGGTAAGCCCTCTCCAGTCTCTTTCCCCCCCTCTCCTCCCCTCCCTCCATAGCCAGCTCCACATCCCTGCATGAGGTTGACTATCCATCATGTCCATTATAGAAAAGGGCTTTTCTTGTTCTTGGAGAATGGCATGCCTGACTTCCAACAACATCGTATTGTTTGGAGAAGCTCCCCGGGAAAAGAACGCAGAGATCTACGGGAGATGCTGCTGAAGGGAAATCCCTCGGCTTTACAGGAGATATGAAACACTGGATGCTGAATTCCAGCCTAAACAGACGTGGTATTGTTACATGAAGAGAGGAGGGGGGCACAACATTATTCATGTTAAGCATTTAAGTAGGGCATGCATTAGCAATGCCAGGGGAGGTCTCTGGAGCCCAGCGCTGTTCTCCTGTGTCCTATCTTTTTTCATTCTTTTTCACCCCTCTTGGTCTTAACTGATGATTGTGATGGTTTAGATTTGGACCAGTTTAACTGGGTCATTCAATTGTGTTGCGGCGTTTCGTCACGCCGGCACCGCTGAAACAGACAGGACACATCAAAAGGCTGTGTGTCTTTAGAATAATGTAGAAATCTTTAGGGAGAAGTCCCACTGTGAGTGCAGGGAGCTGCTTTAACAACTCTCCAGGAACTGTTGACGACAAAATGGATTACGACTGACACTTTTTAGACATGAATGATTCCTGTTTTAGCACAAACTGTGAAACTTCAGTTAAAAAGTGAACAGTTTTGTACCTCGCAGAGCTGAAACAATTGACAGTTTAGTTGTTTGTGCATCACTGCTGCACCTAACAGAAAGATTTCTTGAGCATCTGAGGGCAGATTTGGCTGTGAAAGCCTCTCCTCTGTGGCTGCAGTCTTCCTTTAAACACCCCGTCCTGCTAACATGCACTGTGACTAGGATTTATATCAATCTTGTGATATCAGAGTAGATATTGACGTAGATTTTGGATATTGTTATATTGTTGTGTGTTGTCTTTTCCCAGTTTTAAAGGCTTATCAAAAATCTCATTGTGTAAATATTCTGTAAAAGGACCAGTAGTCAACCCTACAGTATCGATATCAAGGTATTTGGTAGAAGCATATTGTGACCTTTGATTTTCTCCATATCGCCCAGCTTTAACTATAACATGGCTGGTTTTTCTTGACATCAAATCCAATTAAAACAAACATAAATTCACAATAGCTCCAACCTTCATGCCTAATTTCAGCCTCAAAGGCAAAAACCGTGGCCACCAAAGGGTGGGGAAATTTTTGGGACTAACTGACCAACTAACAGAGCGAGCTACAGAGCTGCTGGTCACAGCTAAACAGTAAACCAACCAGTGGGTGTAATGGAGGGTATCTGCACGTATATAATAATAATAATACATTTTATTTATAGAGCGCGTTTCAAAGTACTAAAAGACACTTTACATTAGTTAAAAACGATCATAAAAAAGAATACAGTAAAATACACACAATATTATTCACACCTTAAAAGCTGTTTTGAAAAGATGAGTTTTGTTGAGTTATTTGAACTGGAAGAGGTCAGTGCGGTCTCAAATGTGTTTGGGGAGAGTATTTTAGGGGCATGGGGGCAGCTATGGAGAAGGCTCTGTCGCCCCAGGCTCGGTGCTTGGTCCTGAGTGGTGGAGTCAGGGGGTTGGCATAATATGGGGAATACCTACATCTTTTTCTGTCTGTCTACAGTATATCCACCTATCAGACATGAAGCCATTGGAATATATAGGAGAGTATATTCTCTTCTCCTTGGTAATCTACACAAGTAGTACACCCACCTTATCAACTACCACGACACTACTGAGACTAACCATGAATTTACCCTTCAAACAAGTACTGCCTTTGCTGCTATAACTTGATGTACTGCAGCTTAGATTATTCCTTTGTGTCAGGGGACGGCAACCTTTTATATCAAAAAACCTGTCTGGAGCTGCAAAACATATTTGAGCCTCATAATAAAGGTAACTGTCAACATTACTCATAGATTTAAACAAGTATTAATTGATATGTTTTAGCACAAGGTGGCTAGGTCAGATTAATTGGTGGCTCTAAAATTGGCCATAGGTGCAAATGTGAGCATGAATGTCTGTCTCCATGTGTCAGCCCTGTGATAGTCTGGCGACCTGTCCAGTAGTACCTCGTCTGTCGCACAATGTCAGCTGGGATAGGCTCCAGCCTACATATAAATGAGCCACAATTTGCACTGGGTGACATGTTTCCTCTTTATGAAGAACCTGGGCACTGTCGTTTAATTCAAAACAATCCCAAATACACCCTCCTGCTGTTGTAATCACCAAATTAGTATTAATCCACAGCTGAAAATAGTCCCTAGCAAATGCACCATTTATGTCTGTTTGAGTTACATTCTCTAAAAACTACAGTGCCCAGCTGTTTTAGGAAATGATTAAAGCTTTTTTGAAAATTAAATTATATATCTGTGACTTGTTATTAAAAGTTTATGTCTTCAGTAGGAAAAAAATGTAGTGCAGAGCAGAACAGACAGAGGGGGGAAGTTGGAAAGTATTGACAGACAGATCAAGGCAAAGCTGTATATGAGCTTTTTATGGGATTTGTTGACAATATAATAAAAATACAGATTAATGTCTGACTTATCCTTGAATCCACCGTTCTATTTAAGCCCCGACAACCATTGAGGAAGGCCTCAAAGTCTATTCTAAAACACGAAAAACTTTAAATGTATTCAGTTTGATTCACTAAAGAATGCTCACCTAAAAAATTCAACACCTCTTCCCATGTTTTGTTTAGATCCAAGGAGGCAACTATCCCTCCAGCTTAATTCTATGTCCAAGGAAAAATTAGTCACGCTCCGAGTTTAGCACCTCATCCATTCACGAACACATTTTACCACATCTGCCGGAGCAGATCACTCGTTCGCTCTTACATAAGGCCTCTGTCAATGGGGAACTGCAATGGGCAACCACTGTGGATTCCAGTGCTGCAGGGCTGCCACTTTCCATCAACATCTTCATAATTATCTGTTGACTCTGAGGTTTCCCTACAGTAGGATGGTCTCGTTACATCCAGGGCAGCAGAGTGAGCAGAGCTGTATGAGCTGATCAGACTCAAGGTTAGCTAATTGAGAGCGGGAATGAGGGTCTGAATTTGATCAAAGAATTTAAAGATACGAAACATCTCATGCAGAATTTTACAAATGAGTCAAAATGTGAATTTTTGAAAGACTTTCCTGAGTTAATGGAGACTCTTGTCAAGAAACGCAACTGCTTCAGTTTAAATCTGAGCCCTGGGATCAGCAGAAACATTAAGATAGTCAGGAGGGTCTAAAAAACATAAGCCTTGTCCCCCATTTTTATTGGCTACTTGTAATAATAGTGGTCCAAAACCTGAAGCGTATTGTCCTTTTAGGATTTCTTTGGACACACATGAGGCATAAAGTAAAAATGTGAGCAAATTAAAATGTGCGAATATGTCAGTTTCTCAGACAGCTTGGCTCACAGATGCTCATACATATTTAATACTATAAAAACACATGGCGTGATCCCATGTGGGGTCGAGTGTAAGCTGTCAAATTAATATGTTTTTATGTCTGGGTGTTGACCAAGACACACCACAGTGGTTTAGGGTGAGGAAGAGCTCTCAGAACTCATAACGGCTGATTTCATTTTTACTCTTTAATCTGTTAAATCTTTGCAAATTAAAAACTTTATGTTGTTTGCAAAGATATTCAGTATATTCAGTTACCTCTGGTGGTCAGTAAAATAAAAGATCCAGGACTTTGGCAGGACATAAAGCCAGATGGCCTTGCAGAGTGAAACTGGGCGTGCCAAAGTCTTGCCACAAGCTCAGGCAGTGCCACACGCAGGATGACCACAGACAAAAGAAGAGCCGGCGCTGACCTCCTCTTACCTCCTCAGTTCACTTTTTAATCTAGACATGGCTCAGTAACCCCTCACATAGACTTCAGCGCCAAAATCCCCCAAATTTCACTGAGTTTTTTAGAAATAGTTGAGGTTTCTGTCGGAGCCACGCACCATCTATTGTGTGTTTCATCTACATTTCTGCCATTCTTGATTAAACTTTACGGTTGGAGATGTTCATGTTCACTACACACAGAAATACAAGGAGACACACAGCCAGCATGTGTCTCTATATTTAAGGACTGGAGTCTGATAGGAGCTGGCATGAGGGCCTGGAGAGGTCTAAATCTGGGTGGGGTCGGGGGTAAGGCAGAATACAAAGACAACACTGGAAGATGCTTTGTTGAAAATTTTAGCACCAACAGATCAAAAAGAAGCCTTGTCTATCCCTCGTCTATCTATTTGTGTCTCACTTTCTCAGTCAGACACAAATGTGCATTTAATTCTGTTGTAACAAATACAAAAAAGATTTTCCCAGGACTGAGACATTTTCACGTTTTTTTCTTACACGTCTAAGCTTTTCAGTATGTAGCAGAGATCAGCCTTCAGCCTATGCCCTTTCTTTCTTCTACATCTATCTCTCATGATTAGAGTTGTTTTTATGGGTTAATGATCAATCTATGTAGCTCAGTATGGAGCTAGATTTGTGTCAGTCGCCAAAGGAAAATGTTGGCATTGTATGTTTATGCAAACCACAAATATGTTACATTTGCACATTTCATATGCATCGTATTAATATTTGAATGAATGAATGAATTTATTGGTCGTAACCAAAGGGTAAGGGCTGACTTGGTCGTGTGGAGGTGGAGGGGATGGTGGATGACACTTAGGCTGCAGTACACTGTTTAAGACAAACAAACAACAAAACAGGTGTGAGTTGGCCAGTCGCTGTGTTTCAAGTGGCTTTTTAGACACCAAACATGGGTGTTTTGTAGCAACCCATCGCTGTGTTTCCAGACACTTTAAGGTGCAGTTGTTTTTCCAGTTCAAATTACCCAGGATATCTTTTCGTTATCTGGTTTGAATAAGCCTAACATTGAGTGTCTGGATAATGGGTACTCAACTAGTTCAGTCAACTCTGAGTTTTCCTATTCAGCCACAAGCTTGTTCATGTGAAAGAGGCGGGGTGTTAAATACCAGTGACATCATAAGAATCATATCATGCGAGATGAAACAGTACAGAAAGCGTCTGCGACTGTGAGACAGTAAAATGTCAGTGGTGTGGGATGTAGACGATACTAACAGAAATGTAGAAATACTGAAAGTACTCTCCAGAAAGTCACTGTCGGACAAAACTTAAATTACGTATAGGAAACACTAGGCTACATTTGACATTAGTACAGAGTACGTTTTGCTGTTTAGTTGGATGATGATGAAATTTCTCTGAATATGTCACATTACACATTTTAAAGTAACACCAGACTGTTTCTGCTACTGAAGTAAAGGGTGGAAGTGTAGCCTAGTTGATCACTGATGAGGTCTATCTGACTGAAATGTTGCATTTACAATAATGGTAGCCAGTTAACAGTGTGTGGATTATTTTACTAATAAAAATTAGTAACAATTGTTTTTCCTAGTTCTCATGACACAGATGTCTCCTTATAGTGAGCTGCAGTAACGGAATCAGAGTTTGAAATAACAACACTGTCACTGCGGACTAAGATAAACTTTGAATAAGTTAAATCCTGCTAAAACCACGTGTTTAATGATGTAAACGATCTCTGTGTTTGTTTGAAGCTCTGTTTTAAAACCAATGGAAACAGAGCTCTGGAACAATGAAATGATTTTACTGATCTATAACAGCATATAGGCTACTCTGACGTAGGTTAGCTGTTTAGCGTAAGTTACCATGGTGATTCATTTTGCTCAGGTCTTTTAAGCTAAAACATGATCTCTTCCTAACCATCACCACGTGGTTTTTGTGCCTAAATATAACCAAACGTTAACCAAAGTTGTTGAAATGTTAATGTCAGTGTGTCCACTACATAGTAATGTATTTAATGCACCATATCCATGAGTTACAGAAACATACAATGCCATCATTTCGTCTGGCAACTGGTTTGATCTGTCTCTTGTTGACCTATGTCTGTAACCAGTAAGATGCTACATTAATTTCGGCCTCTAATGAACACAAAATCAAATGTATTAGCTAACCAACTGGAACAATTATAAAAGTGCATTTCTGATAAAGTGCGAGAATATCATAATACACATTATGGTAATTAAGTATAATAACAATTATTCCTACTTGGCTCATTTTCAGCTACAATCTAGGTTTAAAAAATAGCAGAGCACCATAACGTCAGCATGCTGTAATTACTGAGTCATAATGAGTAATGATCAGCAACCCTAAAACATCCCAGAGGACATTTTATAGTCATTTTGAGGCGGTGAAACATCCCACTAATTTCCTCTTTAATAACTGAATTAATCTTGTTAAAATGATAAAACTGACCTCTGTTTCCTCGCTCTTGCCTTGTTGCTCTGGCCTGCGATGTTCCTGGTCAGGAGTGAACACCATGCTGAGGAAGGTGGCTGTGGCAGCGGCCTCCAACCCCCACGTGGAGATCCGTCAGGACGGGGAGCAGTTCTACATCAAGACATCCACCAGTGTGCGCACCACCGAGATCAACTTCCACATCGGTGAAGAATACGACGAGGAGACGGTGGACGGAAGGAAGTGCAGGGTAAAACTGCAAAATCAGATATTTGAACACACACATTCATACTCAGTAAAACTCACAGCTTAAAGGACCAAACTTTTGTGTTTGCAAGTTTGAACTCAAATCACGTAACTTAACATATTTGCTAACAATTTTTCAACTCAACCTACGTAGTTGTTCATTTTTGATTTTTTCCTGCTTTTCCGGCAGTCATTCGCTTTCCATTTCTTAAGTACAATATGAAAATCTATGAGCAGACTATACACGATTTGAATCATGTAAACTATCACAGGGAAAATTTAATTTTTGACATTTCATTTTTGTTGCACTGTAATAAAATTTACTGTAAGACTAAATTAATTTGCACTGCTAATAACAACACATTCTCAGTCCGACCTCATCACATATCAGCGTTTGGTCATGGACTTTCCACATTCACATATGACATCTAAAGTACTCCGGGTGCGTTGGTTGTTGACGTTCTGGTACACCGTGTCAACTTCTGCATGTTCATGCATTGTGTCTTTTCAAAATAAACTTTCGCTTTCACCAGAAATGTACAGTTTGCATACAGTCTCTTTCAAAATAAAAGCATTCCATCGGTACAACACAGCGAATTTATGCTTATTTTCCTTCTACAACAAATGCACGTGGTTACGTTTAGCCAACACTAGCATGTGGTTGGGTTTAGGCAACAAAAGAACAGGGTTTGGCTTAACAATCTCACAGGAAATGAACACTGATTGTTGGTCACCGTTAAATAATAACCAACCAGCCATGCATCATGCTGACCTGAAAGGACAGCTTTTTTGCCTGTGTCTGGCGCTGGAAGTTACAAACCAAGCGGCACTTTTCGACAACTTCGGAGTGAGTCCGGGTTGCAACTGAAGTCAGGACTTCACAACAATACGAAAAAAAAATTTTTGAAGAAACTTTTTTCAGGCAATGGGAGGTGGAAAGTGTAATGCAGAATGCTGAGAGCAGAGAGCGGAGAGTGGACAATGATGAGCGAAACTTGCCAAAAGCAAATTTGTTCTTTTTTTTTTACTGTTAATGTGGAAAACTATGTTAAAAACTATATTAATCATAGCAAAATATTTTCAGTATTTTTACATACTTAAAAACGTGGATGAAGGGGAACTTTAATTGTCTGGATTAGGAATGTGATCACTTCTAAAAATTAAGTCTCAGGGTGCCCATTAGCTCACCCGATGGAGCAGGTGCTGCATGTACAAAGGCTCTGTCCTTGCCACAGCAGCTGTGGGTTTGATTCCAACCCACAGCCCCTTGCTGCATGTCATCCTCTCTTCCCCCCCTTCACGCTAATAAACTGTCCTATTGATTAAAGCAAAAAAAGCCCAAAATATCTTTAAAAAAGATAAATCTCCATGGAATGAATGTAAGTCAATGAAATGTCCTCCTAGTGACAAAAACTAAATGGTGTGTTTGTTTGTGTTATATTAAACATGACTCCCATCTGGTGACAATATCCTGCTTTCCACAAGTTTAGCTGTTAAATTTTAGGATTAGATAGGGGTAAATGTTTGGTTAAAGTTGGGCGAGGCTGCCAGAAAACTGTCAACACTGCGTCTTCAGAAATGACAAAAACAAACTATTGAGTGCGAGGAAAGAGGATAAGAGAAGGTTGAATCAATCAACATCTCAGATTCCTTACAGCACTTCTAATCTTTAAATGTTGTCTTTGATGAAGAGACATCATTAAATATTAACACAATGTTATATACCCTGACATTATAGTGTTCTTTCCAGGAGCCTCAACATTTGAATGATGTTAAAGTGAGTAAACCTGTATTAACAAAGGAAACAGCACTTGAATCCAAAACGTCTACTTAACATCTACAAAATCTAACTGAATGCGTCCTCTAAAACACTTCCACATCATTTGGTATTCTCTGTGTGTTTGTGTGTGTATTAAATGTCTTCAAAGCTATCTGCATGCTATTGTTGAGGAGCGTTGAATAAAAAATTAATACCTCAGTGCAGTCTCATCCATTGGTATCATCCTCACGTCTGTGCGGCTGGATTAAGGGCAGCTTGAGATGGGATGGATGAGAGTTTCTCTCTGAACCTCTTCAGGCCCCGAGGGAGATTTCTCACATCCTGATAGACAGTCAGAGCTCCTGCACAGGTTTGAAAATAAGGCAGAGACGTTTACTCTGTACATTTTTTATTTTTCAGGAACATCAAAGTCTTTCGAAACTCTTGGAACTTATTCCAAAGTCTGCTAAAATACTTGTAAAATGTCAAAGAGACAATTAAGTAATGATGCAAATTATAAACAGTAAAGTAACACATAAAGTCTGGTCTGACAAAAAGGCTACGCCTGTTAGATGTAATAAGAGTGAGCTGGTGTCCTTAGAGACATCTGATATTATCTACACACAGAGACAGTTACATCATCTGTGTAATAAAGATGCAGGTTGTATAATTAAATAGTTGAAAAGTGTTGGAGGCGGTTTGACTGTTGAGCCTGATAATCTTTTTCTTTCTTACCTCATTAAATTTATTTCTGTATGTATTGGCCACCTCTTGATGTCACGTACAGTACATTGTAACATATTTTAAGTACGTCTGAGTCTCGGGGGAAGATAAAACATCAATTATTCCTTATCTTTTACAGAGCAGAGGAGGTGTTTCATCTTCATATCCTCCTGAGACCTTGTGTCCTCATATGAGGACATTAAATCTTGGGTTTATTTGACCTTATACTTCATTCTGCTCAACTCAGGCCTGTTGTCTTCGTTTGTGGACACTTCTTTGTGCCATCTAGTGGCAGAAAGAGCACAATACACTAATCCATGGGAAACAAGATGGCAGCCATCTCTGCCAAGTCAGTCTGCAGCAAATTTAATGATTGAAACTTGTTTATTTATGATTAATTACATTTGTAATTTGATATGCCACTGATATGCAATATGACCTATTTTAGCAACGGTGACAAGATAAGACACTGTTTATCAGAAAGTACTTGTTTGAAGACAGGACATTAAAACTTTAATATCATCTCATTTGAGGACATTGGGACTTTACTATTGTCTCCTCTGAGACTTTATTATTGTCTCATTTAAGGACATTGGGACTTTATTATCGTTTCATTTGAGACTTAGTTATCTTCTCGTTAAAGGACATTGAGACTTCATTGTCATTTCATTTGAGGACAGTGAGACTTTAGTTTCATCTTGTTTGAGAGCATAAGGACTTTATTATTGTTTCATTTGGGGAAATTGAGACTTTATTATCATTTTATTTGAGGACATTTGGACTTTAATATCGTCTTGTTTGAGACTTTATTGTTTTTACCTTTAAGGACATTCAGACTTAATTATCGTCTCATTTGAGGACATTGGGACTCAATTATTCTCTTATTTGAAGGCACTGAGACTTTAATATCGTCACATTTGAGACTTCCTTCTCTTCTGGTTTAAGGACATTGAGACTTTATTGTTTTCTCGTTTGAGCACATTGAGACTTTATTGTTTTTACCTTTGAGGACATTCGGACTTAATTATCATTTCATTTGAGGACATTGGGACTTAATCATTCTCTTATTTGAGAACACTGGGACTTCGTCTCATTTGAGGACATTAGGACTTTACTATTGTCTCCTTTGAGACTTTATTATTGTCTCGTTTAATGACATTGGGACTTTATTATCGTTTCATTTGAGGACATTGGGATTTTATTATCTTCTTGTTTGAGACTTCGTTATCTTCTCGTTCGACATTGAGATTTTGTTTTCTCGTTTAAGGACATTGAGACTTTATTACTGTCTTATTTGAGAATACTGCGACTTCAATATTCTCTTATTTGAGGACATTGGGACTTTAATATTGTCTCATTTGAGACTTAGTTATCTTCTCGTTAAAGGACATTGAGACTTTATTATCATATCATTTGAGGACAGTGAGACTTTAGTTTCATCTTGTTTGAGAGCATAAAGACTTTATTATTGTTTCATTTGGGGGAAATTGAGACTTTTTTATCATTTTATTTGAGGACATAAGGACTTTAATATTGTCTCATTTGAGACTTTATTGTTTTTTCCTTTAAGGACATTGGGACTTAATTATCATTTCATTTGAGGACAGTTAGACTTTATCAGTGTCTTCTTTGATAACACTGGGACTTAATTATTCTCTTATTTGAAGGCGCTGAGACTTTAATATTGTCTCATTTGAGACTTCCTTATCTTCTGGCTTAAGGACATTCGGACTTAATTATTGTTTCATTTGAGGACATTGGGACTTTAATGTGGTCTCGTTTGAGACTTTATTATTTTCTTGTTTAAGGACATTGGGAGTTAATTATCGTTTCATTTGTGGACATTGGGACTTAATTATTCTCTTATTTGAGAACACTGGGACTTCGTCTCATTTGAGGACATTGGGACATAATTATTGGCTTATTTGAGGACAGTGACACTTAATATCGTCTCATTTGAGACTTCGTTGTCTTCTCGTTTAAGGACATTGAAACTTTATTGTTTTCTCATTTAAGGACATTGGGACTTAGTTATTGTTTCATTTGAGGAAATTGGGACTTTAATATTCTCTCATTTGAGACTTCGTTATCTTCTCGTTTAAGGACATTGAAACTTTATTGTTTTCTCGTTTAGGGACATTGGGACTTAATTATCGTTTCATTTGGGGACATTGGGACTTTATTATCATCTGATTTGAGGACAGTTGGACTTAATTATTGTCTTGTTTGTGGACAGTGAGACTTTATTATCGTTGACAATATTTAGTTGTTTTATACTTATCAGGTCCTGCTGACCCCAAATAGCTAGGAGAAATTTAAAATACATACCAAACAAAAGTTTGTGTCTCACTAGGCTACAATAATCTCTAACTTAAAGCTTTTCCATGTGTATGTTGTAAATTCAGCTGTCTCACTGCGTTCACTGAGTCAGCACTGCAGATTTGAAGAGCATTTAGAGACGAGATGTCGTGACAGAAACACGCTGCCTCTGAATCACTTTAGGTAATGAGATATATTTGCAT